CATTAACATGAGCCTTATTACTCGCTCCGTCAGTATAAACAGGCTTGTTGTTTTAATATTTGACTGACAGCAGCACTAAGTGAGCAGACGGCGTGGTCCAGCTGGTCTGGCTGGAGCTGCTGGCCACACTGTCTGCTCTGCTGTCAGTCGGCTCACTGACTGGACTCACCGACTGACTTGTTTCCTGGCTGGCAGAGTGCTGCTGTCAAAGTAGATTTATGTGGCCGGGATCTGTTGATAGCTCATTTCAGACACACTGAGCTCCCTACAGGGGGCAGCAATTAAAACCCCACTCACTGTGTCGAGCTGCTTCTCCTAAATGTGGTGCAAACTGCTCTCTGGACAATCTTTGTTGACCCCCGACTCACGGTCTGTGCAGTTACTGTAAAGTTCAACTCTAACTATGTTTGTAGTTGACGTGTCACCATCCTGGTTCTGATCCTGACCGTACACAGCAGTAATACTTGGAATATTCAAATCTGCTCTTTGAATTCTTATAACAGGACTTATTATTCATATAGTGAAGCCGATATATTGCTAGAAATACCTAAAACCAGACCATAGAAAGGTGCTGCTGAGTTCACATATAGCTAAAGGTTAGCCCAAACACTGTCAAAGTTCACAGCACTTAACATATTACTTAAAAATGTAATGATATAATGATAGCAAAATAAAAATGTTACATTTTTATTTATTCATATATATATACGTATATTTCTTTTTTAAATCAATTTTTTTAAGTTAGTCAGAAATCTGCAGGAGGATCATTTAATGTTAGACCTTAATGCTATAAAAACATAGAAAGTCCCTGAAGGTTAACAAAGAAGCTCAGGTGTAGCCAGGAAGAAAACAAAATGTTATTAAAATAAAGCTAAATGTTAGCCATACAGAGCTAAACATAGAATACAGCCCCACTACTGGAGCAAAAAGAAAAAAAACACATTTAACTTTCACCACTGATAATTCTGACAGTTTAAATAACTGTTTATACTTTTTAAATGTATATATAAATAACTGTATCAGCAGCAGATGCTTGGATACCTTCACTGTCTCCAGGCATCAGTGGGTTTCAGTCCTTGACATTCAAAGACAGAAAGACAAAAGGACGCAGGCTTTTAAGAGCGCGGTGTCTGAGAGTCGCACACATTCGTGGGGACAATGAAGCCGTAAAGACAAAAGAGGAAGTCAGAGGTCTCGTAAATCACTTTTTAAAAATGCCCTGCTCACACCCACTGCCAACCACAGCGACATCCACTTCCACCGAGGAAACCGCGCACAGCCAGTAACGAGCCGAGGAGGATTCTTTAAAAGAGGGACCGGATGTTTGTCCCGTCTGCTCATCGTCCACAAAGAGCTGAGCTAGCAGCCCAAAAACGGCAGGTTAGATAGTGCTGAAGTGATGAGTTGATGGCATCAGATGAGAAGGTGAATTTATTACACGTTAAAGAATATGAATACTTCTATAAAAAGGTTTGAGTTCCTTCTTTTGTCCTTTAATGAGAATACCGCTGATCTCCTTGGGTTTTTACTGTTGTGCCCATCAAACTCCATTCTGCTTTTCTTAGACTTAACCTTCTCTCTGTATCTACTCTGAATCTTATAGAAAATGATGGTAGTTTAATCATTAACAAGCTGTTACTTGTTGGTGGTCGGTTTGTTTCCTGTTCTTTCTTTTTTAATTATTCTTTAATGTGTGTTTGAACAGCTCTGTTTTTTTTTACTAAAAAGTCCAAGTGACTGCCCTCGACTTTTACCGATCATCTTGAATTGCAAAGGAAAATGTCCTGCTGTTCCACTTCTGACTTAGTGACCACAGTTCACCCACAGCTCTGTCCTCTGGGAATAAACATTAGTGTCGTTTTGCGACAACTTTTTGTCTGTTAATTTAAAGACTCATTAATCAGCTGATGTAAAGGATCACAGGAAGGCCTGTGATGGTTTCTGTACGCAGCCCCGAGGATGTGACTGATTGGACGTCATTAAGTCAAATGTGCGTCAGTGAACGTGTAGTGTGTTATTGTCAAACTTCCTCTTTCTCAACCCTGCACTTTCTCCTCAGAGGGCGGCTAATGGCTCAGGAGCTCCAGGTTTTTCAAAGTGGCCTGGTGTAAAAAACACACAGGAGGAGAAAGAGAGAGAAAACCGAGAGATGTGTAATCAACACGCTCGGCCGCAGAAGCATTCAAACCCACTTCCAGATGGTCCGTATTCCTAGATGTCTGTGATCTCCTTCGCTTTGTCACAATGGATGAAGTGTTGGAATTAAAAGAAAATGAAAAGGACTAAATTCTTTGGGTTGACTAGAAATCAAATCTCTGAACGGTCGTTCGTCTACTCCTCCAATCAGCAGCCCTAATTACAACCATCAGATCATATTTTTTTTTCTCACAAATTGCTGGGAACTGCACTGTAATTTTCTACAGTACCCTGCACTGGTGCAGCTCCACGTGGCCAGAGGTGCACAGATGTAAACGCCAGAAGAAATCCCACAGCAGCAGTTTGCATCAGTGACTTATTTTCAGGGTTTGCTGCAGCAGCAGATTTTCTGTCTTTATTTTCCCCATGGCTTTTACTTTTTGTCCAAAACTGCCTCCTGTAGACCATGAAACCTGCCTCGGCACCAAATACAAATGATCCAGACAGTTCTGATTCACACAAACGGAATATAATTTAAATCTTTCGCCATCAAGATTAATTGTGTTGAAAACACACATTGTTTGTTCCGTTTGGAAATGAAAAGTCTAATTTAGGTTTTGAAACTTGTTCCCATGACTAAAAAAATGTGCAATATGTGAATTCTTCCTCTCAGACTATTTTTTGCTCGCGGCTTGTGTTGTTTGTTGTTTCTTAAAAAAAAAAAAAAACAGTGAAAAAGAGTTGGATCTGGGAGGTGTCGGTCTGTGTGTGTGCTTTGTGATTTGCGGGCGCGGTCGTGTTTGTGGGTTATCTTCCGTGTTAGTGGGGAATCAAAAACATGTTCAAAGAGCTTTTATAACACTGCAATTCCTTCAGACGGGTTTATGGCTGAGAGTTTACAGCAGGATAAAGAACACAACAAAGCACTCTGGGTATTACTGTATATGAAGGAACCCACTACAGTGAATCCCTTTGTGTCTGTGAGTGGGGCTGTGCATGTGGCTAAAGATAAAACTGCAATTTAATTCACATTCTCCTCCTCGCCTTTCAGCTCATTTCAGTGAATTTGCACAGATAACCGTGGCACATGAGAGCAACTTGGTTTCACCTTAAAATAACAACTTTTAACGCAGTTTTTTACAAGGGACTAACTCGAAACTTTCTCCATTGCTGCTCTGCAACCTTAACTTATTGTTTTGTAAAACCTCACACATTTTGGACTTAGAAAAGCTAAAATTAGAGTGGGGTTTTGTTTATTTGAAAAGTAAACTATAAACTTTTTAATATAAAAGATTTACTCATAGGAAATAGTTTTTGTAGTTAATTAACTAGCTGTCAAATCAGTCATGAACTGAAAACATAGAACATAAGTCACGTTTAAACACTGAATTCTTTTTTCACATGACTAAATTGTTCTTGCTCCCCAACGGTATCTCAATTCCACCTCAGTAATAATCCAAAAAAAGACCACACATACTAAAATCACCTAGAATTAAGATTTCTTATTAATGTTTTTTTATATGCACATCATGATTCTGCTGTAGTTCATTAAGTTCAAAACTAAAATCTGGAATCAGTCATGTTCCAATGTTCAAAAACAGAATTTTTCCAGGCTTCAAAACATCCACAAGACATCACTACTATGAATCAAACAATGTTTTTCTCTCTTTATGACAAATATGTAATTAAGCAGTGATGCTCTCCATTCAATCCCTGTCACAAAACAAAGCATGAAATCATATTTTCGGGTCATAAAACAACCGGATGAGAGCGCAGAAAAGAAAGCAAAATCAAAACACAACGATGAAATCATTAAAAATGAGGTGTTTTTTATTAGCACTCAGAGACAGTTGTGATATTACAGAGTGAAAATGATTCCCCGAGGAGAGAGGAAGGCTCTGTGAAAAAGTGTTAAGAAAAGCAAAACATTAAGAAAGAAGAAAATGTCTGTCATCGCTGCTTCTTCATCCATGAATTATGTTATTATAAATGTGGGAGAATCCTCCTCCTCCTCATGTTTATGTTCTCATCTTTGCTGAGTGAATGTGAGTGAGTTTGTTTTCTCAGCCACCTTAAAACACACACACACACACACACACACCTGTGATCCTCTCCTTGGTTTCATCTTGTTGTTTATTTTTTGCTAAATAAGAAAACAGAGCAGTATTAAGAAAATCTCACGTGCGCCGCCGGTCAAATCCGCTTCCTATTTGTTCTTCAGTATTTATACAACAGTCTGTTTTAATTGTGGAAACATTTGATTTTCTGGGACTGTGGGAAACTTTACACAGAACTACTTTTAAGCGGATCTGGTTTAATGCAGACGTCCATGGGAGGAAAGTGTTATAACTATGATTATTATTGTTGAATCCAGGTAAAACCTGACTAAAATCACAAAACAGAAGTGACTTGAAACAGGGAGGTGGGGGCCAATCACAGGAGAAGACTGCAGCACCTCCTTGTTTTGTTGTTTTTTTAACCAGAGTTTCCTCACAGATTGGGACTTCATCCAACACAACCACAGTTGCTGCAGCACCTACCATGACCATTATGTGGTGCTAAAGTAGCCAAGCTTTAGGCGATACACAAAAGTCAGTAAGATAATATAAAAACTTTTCACCGGTTCCCTGCTTGGATCAACAAGATGAACATCAGAAAATCCAAATCTGTGTCGATCTCCTACATAACAACAAATGTCCCAAATTCCTGACTGATGCAGCTGCAGACTGACGGGAAAAACACTGCGTCTGTTTGTCTTTTTGTCGAGTAAACATGTTAACAGTTCCCATTGTTAGATGCAACATTGTGTTTACCTGCCCTCAGTAAATCAAACACCATGTAGATTAAACTGGTTGTTGTTCCAGGATGCTGCAAACAGAAACTTCCCTGGGAGTCCTGACGCCTGCTGGGAAACAACAGAGTGGAGGAAACTGACTGTGATGATCTGGGAAACAGAAGAGCCTGAACAGCCTGTGCTGCGCTTCAGATTCATCTGAGGTTGGGATTGTGTAATCTGAAAGTGGTATGATGGGGTAATTTGGGACTCAATTCTACACATTTCTTGTACATTCTTGGATTTGAAGTTGCGCCCACAGCCGGGGTACAGTGGGTGAAAAGGGCAGCAGCAGGTCCATCATGTCAGAGCTCATTTCTCAGTGGGAGGTTAATTAAAACAAACTTGTGACACTTTTGTAAATAGAGATGAAAACAGCTCTTCTAAAACCACGTTTCCATGTACAACAATGTAAGGTATTTGAAAACAGCCTGCGTCTGTCTTAGCCAGAAATACCACGGTTAAAGTCAGATGTTAGTCCATTTCCAAACGATAGTAATCAAATATTTTACCCAAACAAGAAAAACTGATCAGTGATACATTCAATAAAACCCAATTATATGGATGCCTTCCCAAACTAATGTGGTCTTGAGGTTTTTTAGCTTCATATTTTTTAAAAGATTTTAAATAACTAAAGCCAATAGCTTAAACTAAGCTTAAAGACTAAGCTGAAAAAAACATCAGACATCATATCTTATCATTGTTGTTTAGTTGGACACAGAACACAGCTTAATTCGGGGAGGTGTTGTATTGAAAACATTATCTACATAAATAAAGTAGTATAAACTAAAGAGAATGACGTGACTTTAAAATGGTCAATATTATTGGAACTTCAGACGAAATTGAGATAAGATCTGACAGATGCCTGTGACTCGCAGCTCTGTGGTTCGTCAGGGATCATTGTGTTTGCAGCAGTGAAGACAAATCAGTGTTTCTCCCTCTGTTTGTCTGCCTTTGTTTTGCTTTCACCCACTAACCTCCGTAGCAGGACGGAGAGCAGCTGTAGGGCAGGGAAAGTGACCCTGTCCTCTCACACAGAGCTCAGAGGTCAGCCGCAGGTTGGAGGATATATCTTAAAAACTACAAACTAAAATAAATGATAATAATGTCATCAGCTTTAACTTCATTAGCAGGACTTGCAGAAAATAAGCTTGCTCCAGCTCCAATCAGCTACATTACAAGTTGAGGTAGAGTTGAGCTAGAGTTGATGCCGCTGTTTCTCCTCCTCGGGCACTGATGCACGTCAAAGCTCTGGAAAAGCAGCGCTGTTATCTGTGAATGTGATCCATCAGAGTGTGTCTAAACATGAGTTTCTGAAAGCAGCCAAGAGCTGCAGGCACCTGTCTGTCTCCCAGCCCAGGCCTGAGACAGTGTGGCTAGAGCCCTGTGACCGGGAGGCTCAAACTGTGACCGCCGACTGCCCACACAGCTATGGGTCAGTCTACAGCAGAGACAGACTGGGAGACGACGGCTGAGGTCTGCTCCAAGAGACATTAATGATCCAGAGACAAAGAAACAGAGCAGAGAATACAGAAAAAACAAACTGTCCCTCTGTTGTTTCTTCCAAAAGTTTTCCGTGTGAATGAACATCACCGCGAACGATCAGTTCTCTTTCTAAAGCTTATCGTTTCATTGTTTTAATTGTCCTCGGTTATTCAGCTTTTATGAGTTCATACTGAATAAAAACGACATCTTCCGGTGCAGTTAAAACTAACTAGTTGATGAAATAAATATGAAGTGGGGAAAAATGAAAAAAAAAGAAAGAAGTCAGACGTGGTGAAAACAGAAAATGTAAAAACTCCTCCTCGTGACGACGGCTCTGTCCAAAAGTCCTGTTTGTTAGGAATGTGTCATTATTTATTTATATGCCTGTAAACGTGCTGTTTTCTACTTCAGGGGAAAAAATGGATAAAACCCAAATTTTATTCTTTAAATATCTTTAAGGGAAAACATGTTTTGCTCAAGGTTTAAGTATGGCATTCTTACATTTAAGCTGCATAACAGTTTAATCACAGACTATGAGAATATGAGAATGAGTTATGATTTTTTTTCTGGTATAATTCTCTTTATTCTCCGTTTTTTTTTTTTTAGTTCAGTTCAGTTTTTTTCTTCCAACCTTTCCTCATGGTCCAGTCTTTTTATATCCAGTGTATGTTTGATAGTTAGCCTGGTGTTTTGTCTAGACTCGAGAGCTGTTTGGAAAAATTCTGAACAAGTACTTTTCTGTGATGCAAGCGAAGCTGTTGTGGGTCCGTTCCTGTCAACCGCATATTTACGTCACTGCAGTGTGGAAAACAAAAAAGTTTTTTGTTTTTTTTTTATATGCTGGTGGTGGTGAGAAAAGTTTTATATGAATCTAGTCCAGACTTTGAACGACCGTTGTGTTTTTAATTAACTTCAGTCATGTCAGTTGTACACAAAAGTAAATTATACAGTTTTCAATTACAAACAAGAAGTTAATTCAGACAAATATTTTATTTTAAATTAAAGGCATTGTTGCTAGAACCAAATATCAGCAGCTTCCAGTACAGAGAATGACAAAACACTTTTGTAGTTGGACAAACGGACAAATGACAAATCAGATCTTTGCTAGCTGAACATCAGGTTCTCTGATTGGTTCCTGGTCACAACATGGGCCTTTTTATTTAGAATTAACTTTTACTTTCTTTTTGGCATGATTAACAAAAATCTGCTGGAATTCTGATTTTTCATATTTTTAGTCAACGTTGTGTCGTTGTCTTCTTTATAACATCGATTTTATTAGCAGACAAACTCTGGACTTTTAGCAGATCAGTCCAGCACACAACCACAGTATGGTTTGGATTGGAAGGCTAGTAAGAGACTGCAGAAGGCAGAATGGGACAAGGAACGTCCACATGGTGCTACAGTGGTTAGTGCTCTTACCTTACAGCAAGAAAATCACCAGTTCAGCTCTGACTGATTGTCCTTCCGCCATAATCCTGAAAATGATTATAGCAGAGAGAAAAGGACGGATAAAGCTGCAGGTACTGGAGGACAGCCCTCTAAAATAGAGTGTCCATGTGTCCCACCTTAGTGTGGGATGACTTTTGATGCTCCCAGAAATATTTCATTACATTTTCAGTACAAATAAAAAATAGTATTTTAACACATTTAACCTTGATGAGGTCATTTTTAAGGTCTTTGGTGTAGGCAAATATGTCAGTCACTGAACTTCAGCGCAGACCTCTGATGCTGTGAGGTCTGGAGTTGGTGCTGCACTAACGTCAGTGTTGAAGTGTTGGGGTTTTTTTCTCAGAACAGAGACAGCAGAGAGGTTGACGCTGGTCTTTTGATGAGGCCAAATGAGACCTTCACTCACATTCCTGGTTAGTCTCCTGGGCTGCAGCCCGCCACATTACTGCTGCTGTCCAAACAAACAAGGCCAGCCACAGAACTGACTTTCTGGGCTGTGCCCAGCCGAGCTAAGCCGGGACAAACCGCCCACCCCTGACAGACCAAAAATATAGACTCTTCATTTTCATTCTAAGGAACAAGAGGCTTTTTCACACACGTTGTGGCTGAAGTTGTTGTCGTCTGTGCTGCTATGACATCATTAACCTGTGAATCAGACATTAAATTGTCTCTGCTTGGAGGTTTTTTTATAGCAGGAATAATATTGAACAGAATCTTTACTTATAACCTGAGACATAAAACAGGACATCTTCAGAATTATACACCGTTTCCTGTAGCATTAGAGCATTATGTTTTTTCAGAAATTAAATTTTAAAATTGAAAAAGTCAGATTGATTTATTTTATAGTTGGCCTGCAGAACACTCCAAAGGCAGATGTCAGTCAGGAAGAGACTGTTGGTTTAGTCGGTCTACGGGCAGACAAAGGCAATAAGTTGGCAGCAGGGGACGGTTCAAAGGCAGAACGACAGCAACGATGGTTTGATTGGTTTTTAATCTCCACTGCAGATTACCCTCAACTTTCAGTGCTTTGTTAGTAACTGCTTGGTTGTTCTTTACCACAGTTTAAGTGTTGGATTATAGATGATTATGGTTTCTGCAAACATTTTTTCTGTAAGATTTCAAACTAAAATATCTCTCTAAGCAGCTTGTAGTTTTACATCAAGGCCTGTGTTCAGGAAGATGTGATTTAATTTAGGTACATGTGGGCTATAGAGCGCAGCGAAGGATCAGTGTGTTGTTGTTCATTTGTGTGTGTGTGTGTTTGTGGAAGCTGAGCAACGCTTGTAAAACACACAAGAAAAGACGTGGGCCGCAGGATTTTGATTCAAAATAAGACTTTACGAGAACTTTGTTTTTTTCACAAGTATTTCTGAAATGTCCACCCGCAGTTTGATCAAACCCTGGCTGCAGTCGCCTCCTTTAACTCCCAAAGTGGAAGAAGAAAAAGCAAAGAAGGAAATAAAAATGTGGTTTTTGTAAAAGTTGCAAGACGTAGTATTGTGGATGTATTAATATCTCGGCTTAAAATGGAATCACACAACAGATTTGTAAGAGGAACAAAAAACCTTATAGTTTGACAAACGATATGGCAAAAGTCAATAAATGTTAAAAAAAATACCTATAGAAATTGCCAAAATTGCCATTTTGGACAAAAGGTCTTATGTTTTGCTATGGAAACATATTTAACATATTTAAACAAACATATTTAACATATTCTATAACTAAAATTCAGCCTAAAATAGTGGTAATATAGCTAAAATAGCTAAGAGTTAGCTCAAAAATGTTTGTAAAATTTTCATGGACGATAGCAAAGAGTTAACAATAGCTTAAAGAACTTGTCCTTCCTTACATTTTGAAGGTAACGTACCCCAGAAGGTAACCATAAAAACAAAAATATTTAAAATATATATATATGAATTTAATGTTTTAAATTAACAACGCTATCAAACTTTATGTTGGCTAAAAGCTGACAGGAATATTTGTATTCTCCCTGTGCAGTTCACACATGTGAAGTGAGTCTGTGAGACATTATGGGCAGCCTCGGTAAAACCCTTATCTCCTCAGAAATCACGGCTGATAAAATTAAGAAAACTCTGGCAGAGAGCAGAAAAACACCATAAACCAGAGGTTTGTGGAATCACCCGGTATCAAAGGCACCACTGCGTCACACTTTCTGATCTCTGGAGGAGTCTGTGGATAATGTCAATGTTGTTTTGGCCGAAGGAGCATAGATAATATTTTTCCGTGCGGCCTGCTCTCAGTGGTGTCTACTGGTGGACGTGCCGTTTTTGAACTTCACCTGAGGAGTCTGAGATCAGTCCCCATTCATGTCTGTGGAAGTCTACTATAAAAGTTGTACAGTGTCAATACCACAGTAGGTCCTGATGCAAATTCCTCCCTGTCTGACTTTGAATCTCAAATGTAATTTTACATTTTAAACAAATGATAACATTTACATAGCACAAGGTGACAAGAGAGAGAGACAGAGAAAGATAGAGACAGGTGTAAAAACACCCTGTTTTTATATGAAGGCAATGAAGAAGCAAACGATGCTAATGAACTTTCAGCCTATATTTCGCTGTATTGCTAACTTTAACTTTCCTAACTCCCTGATACATCATCACTGCACACATTATAA